TAGAGGTGGTTGTGAGGCACATTACATGGGTGCTGAGGACTAAACTCAGATCTTCTGGAAAAGCGATACTCGTTCTTCACCACTGTGCCGTCTCTCCAGCCACTCGCATCCATTTCTTGACAAACTAGTAGCCCCCCTTGAGCCGCTTGACTTTCTTTTTCCCAGAGGAAGTCAGCTGTGGAAACTAGTAAGAGAGTGACTGTATATACTGTGGAACAGAAATGTGCTGTCAAGAGATTGACCTAGGAGGTTGGTGCACTCTTCAGATCTCAAAAAACGGTGGAAGGATGAACCCAAGTAATAACAGGATTTTATTAGACAGAATGTTTTTCTCATTGTTAATTAATTTTATTAGTTGGTATCTAATATCTGTACTACTTTATAGTACATGGGTTTGTTGCTAGGCACCCGTAGATCATGTGCAGCGGCTGAAGGAGGGTGATTAGCTCTTTCGTCTAAGTATCTTTCCTGTGACTCACACAGTTTAAGTGTTGCCAGAGTAGAATTTCAAAGCCAGACTTTGCAACGGTGAGGTTTGCCTCACAGCAGCTGGAAAATAAAAGCTTTACCTGATGTTTCCTTGCACGGCCTTTGGATGAGAGACTCTGGCCTCAAAGCAGAGAGCTCGCTTCCCTTTCGCCTCCACTGCCCAATAGTGAGAAGCTGTCCGTGCCATGGCCGTCCTTCCCCTTGCATCTCTGGTCTGTCACACATTTCCCACCTACCAGCATCCTTGTCTCCATGTTAAATTAGTTCCAGCCCTGTGAGAAGATTGTACCTGTTACTGGAGTCGTTCGGGTCAGTGCCTGGCTCTGGCAGGCCTGACAAACCAGCCTCTGCCACCACTCCTCACTATGTCAACGAAACATGCAAAGTAATAGTGGAAAGTAGAAAAGAGGGAAATATTCAGAGTGATCACACACCCGAGAAGAGAAACGAAGAAATTCCTAGACTGCCCCACCTTACCCCAAGTCTACCTTCCAGGTCCTGAAACCTCCCAGGTTTAGGTTAATTTGAAGACAAGAGGTACGCATAACTAGCATGGTCATGCCCATCAGTGACTTTCCACTGTTTAGGCTACAGTCTGTCTGGTAAGGTGTTTATTTTATTTTATTTTACTTTAAAAGATTTTTTTGAGACAGCATTTCTCTGCTGTCCTGGAACTGGTTTTGTAGACCAGGCTAGGCCTGAACTCACAAAAATCCACCTGCCTCTGCTTCCCACTGTTGAGCCCAAGAACAAGGGTGAGACTCTGTAGGACACAGCAGTTGAGTGCCTTACCAAGTATTCTAAGGGGTGGGGTCTTACATGGTTGTTGCCTTACATGTAATTATGAGCTAAAGTCAATGATACGGGATTCTTTAGCTATTATGCCAAAGGGGACTACTCATATTAAGTCTTTAGCTTCCAAAATACTAAAGGCGTGTACCACCAAGCCCAGCTCCTTGCAAGGTGTTCTGACAATTTAGCGGAACTATGTGCACCTTCTTTTGAGAGAAAGCTCCACTCTGGCTGCTGCCAAGCTCCAACCATTTTTTTCTCCCAGCATGAGACTCCTGGGGAAATTCCAGTTCCTTGGGGTCCATTGTTTCACTAGTCTGACAGACAAAGGGAGGGACACCAATGTCTCCTTAGATTATCTTTATCCCTGTTCCAAACCTTCCGGGAGGACTGGGTTGGGATTTAGATTTCTTTCCAAACACTAAGATTATTGCTTCGTAGGAAGATGACATTTCCCCCGTGGAAACACCCAAGAAGATTGTTTTGAGTCCCAGACTATAAAACCTAAACAAACGAGTGAATGAACACTATGCTGTAACTGTTCTGGGAAAAACAGTAGGTTGCGTGTGAGTGGACACTCTTGAATCTACTCTTTGTCCCAAATGACCAGGTGGCCGAGGACAAGGACAGCTCTAAGCAAAATGACGAAACAGATGTTCACCCGGGAGACTATAAACACTGAATTGTAAGGATGCATGTCTACATATTAGCTTCTTTGTTTCCTCCTTGATCCCCGTTCACCTCTTCCAGAACCTTCCTGGGGTTCATCTCACTCTGCATTCCTTCAAAAGCATTTTGCATTCATTTCAAAAGCAGAGCCTAAAACCTGCGTAGCAGTTAGATAGGAATCTGGCCCCTGTTGGCAGTCTTTAGAAACTTGCCTTGTTAAGGCACAGGGGAGCCTTAAGTCGCAGCTTCTCATTTAATTCTGTTAGCCCTGCTGGTCAGTACCCTTCAGAGCCCCAGCTTTCTCCTGCCCCCTGAGAGGCATCCGGACTTCTGCAGACTTTCCTAGGAGATTTCAGTCCCTGCCAGAGCACTTGTACTGTTTGGGGAGTAAAGTAATGCCTTTAGAGGGTTGGATCCCTAGGGTTTAACTTCTTAAGACTGGCTTGCAAGTGGATGAAAGCCTTCAGGACTTAGGGCGGTGCCTCTTAAAGCATTCTCAGCATGGGAGAAATGCAAACTCTCTGGCTATACCTGGAAGCTCCTGAGGCAGCCTACAGCCTATATAGCCCCAGTCTTAGGAGTCCGCCCACCTTGGGCCTGGGGTCTACTGCTGGAGTGCAGTCACACCTCTTTCCTGGTGAGGTAGAGGTCATCAGCATAATCTCCGCAGTGTGAAGTGGTTTCAGGTTTCTTTCTATTTATCCCTGGAGTCTAGCCTGGTTCCTGTCACCCTCTCTACCACACTCAGCTCTCTCCTTTCTTATCACTCTCAGCTTTCAGCACCCCATTCCTTCTGCCTCTTCTTTTACACACACATTTTTGAACCCCCAAGGTTGTTCATGAGATAATGTTTCTGCCAAAAAACTTGTGGAAATGAGATCTTAGGACAGGAGAGGAGCAAAAGGGTCCAGGACATCGTTCCTTGGGGTGCTGCATCAACTCGTTTCCCAGGGTTTGTATAGTTCAGGTACCTACCTAGTGGTTGATTAAGTGATTACAGCTGGAGCACAAAGCCCCATTGGCACAGCCATTCTGCTGGAACCATGGAGTGCTGCTTCCATCCATGCAGCTAAAATGTAAGGGCCGACACACAGCTCACCCTTCCCTTGGAGAGATGCCTGCGTCATTACCACATAGCTGTGAATACAGAGGGGCAGGCAGCTCTGGCAGGGAAAGGGGGAGACTGGAGACGCAGAACTAGGAAGTTAAAGAAAGGCTGCTGGGGGAAGCGTATGAGTGGGGATGGTGTCGAAGTTCTAGCAGATGTCACAGGGATGTCTCACTGTCACCAGCTAGTAGGAGAGTCCTCAGGGTATGAAAGGTGTGCCCTCCCTCGCCCAGGACAGTTTTGTTTTCCTTCCCGTAGATCCTTTCAGAGGAGGAGCTTGGCATATGTGTTCATGCCTTAGCAAAAACAGTCCTTCTCTTGGCAGAAAACTCTTCAAACATTGTTGAGTCCAAGAACAAGGGTGAGACTCTCTGTAGGACACAGCAGTTGAGTGCCTTACCAAGTATTCTAAGGGGTGGGGTCTTACATGGTTGTTGCCTTACATGTAATTATGAGCTAAAGTCAATGATACGGGATTCTTTAGCTATTATGCCAAAGGGGACTACTCATATTAAGTCTTTAGCTTCCAAAATATGTTTTCAGTGGGAAGTACAATTGAGACTATGGGTTTATGTGATAAAGGCATGTGTATACTTCTAAGACTAAGAGATTTGCAGAAGTGAAAATGAGGAAAACGTGTGCATATTTGTGTGGGCGTGCACCTATTTCTGTGGAGGTCAGAGGTCGAGTGCCTTCCTTAATTGTTCTCCACCCCGTTTTGGAGACAGGGCCTGTTACTGAATCTGGAGCTCATTGACTTGGACAGGATGGCTAGCCCTCAAGTTACAGCAATCCTCCTGTCTGCCCCTCTTTAGGAATACAAGGACATGACCGTGGTTGGCTTTTTAGGTGGGAGGCAGGGATCAGAACTCAGGTCCCCATGCTTGTGCAGCAAGCACTTTATGGATGGAGCCATTGCCCCAGCTCCCATTTTACTTATTTAAGGATGTCACCTGTCATCCTTCTGTATTGCAGCATGCCTACTTTTGATATTTGTTTCCCCAAATTTCAAGGTACAAGATGGGAGATTCGGAGAGAATGGCAGCCCGGGAGGAACTCGGCTGAAAGCCCAGTTGCTCTTCATTCTGAGGCTGAGGACCACATCCTCTCTGTCCTTCCTCCTTGTCCTCTCCCTTCTGCTGGGCCTTAGATCCTGAGCTAAGATGGTACAAGATTCTTCAACTCTTATGCCACTGGCAGGCTAAGAAACCATGCTTTTGGGCTTCCAGAAATGTTATCTCAGTGGAATGTAAACTTGAACTTCTGGCCTTGCATTCTAAAACATTGCACACTGCTGCTCTTACTAGAAGTGTGGAAGATATCCCCGGTCTATCTTGGGGACGTATGGAGATTCCTAGCAGGCTGGCTTGTTTTACCTTCTCTCTTCTAACAAAAATGCCATGATTTGTTTAAGACCATTGCCTATTTTTTTTAATCATACTGATAGGTAGGGATGAACTAACTATTCAACTTCTCCTCAAGCCACAGACTCATTGCCCCCTTCACTATTAATTTCTTTGAATTTGGCTATCAACACCTGCCCTCTGCTTTCTTGTGTAATTGTCTGGAGTTGCCTAAACTTTTGTATTGCAGAGCACGCATCTGCCATCCCAACACTCAGGAGGCTAAGGAGCTGGAAGCTCTACTCAGCCTCAAGCTTGACTCATCAAAAGGAAAATCTACAGCAGGTTGAGCAGTGGTATTCTGAACTGAAAATAGCCTAGGCTCTTTCATAATGTGAACCCATCTTTAGATGAACCCTAGTGTGGTGGGTACCCTGACTCCCAATTGTTTTTTTATATTCACTGTACTCATCCTTGAGGTATGTGCCATAGTCATGTCTCATGAGGAAACAGACGCACAGGCAGTTATGCTGTTGACCCAGGTCTTGGTGGACGAGCGTCAAGCTCTCTATTGACAACTGCTCCTGTTCCTTCCACAGGTATGAACGCTGCGGTCCGTGCTGTGGTGCGCATGGGAATATACGTGGGGGCCAAAGTGTTCTTTATATATGAGGTCAGTGCTTGCTTCCCATTTGTGCTTTCTCTGACTCAGGAATTCGGACTGCCCACTGGCTCAGAGCCCTGAGCTCACAGGTCTCTCTCCTGCTGACTGCCCTGGCTGAGTGCCGGAAGTGAGGGAGAAAATGAGATAAGACAGCACAAAAGTCAGGCTGGTATCAACTTCCTGGTTTTGATTACTGGGTTAATGATCCTGGATGTGTTAACTGTGTGAGCTGATGTCAAAGAATAGTACGAGAAATGGACAGACAGCCACTTGGAGCTTTCTGTCCTTAAGCGGATGCTGAAGCCACTTCCTGGTGTCTGCTCATGGCTTAACTTCACAGTGAAGAATCTGTGGGTTAAATGGAATTTTATTAGTGAGTGCACAAATAAAAATGATGTCATGAGCTTGCCTGGAAATGGATGCAACTGGAAATCATCACATTAAATAAATAAACTAGATGAGAGAGAGAGAGAGAGAGAGAGAGAGAGAGAGAGAGAGAGAGAGAGAGAGAATGAGAACTAGAAAGGAGACTGACAGGAAGAAAACATCTAAAGGGGTAGAGGAGGGAGGCAGAGAAGGCGATAAAATGCCTGTGACTTGAGGACAGAGGGGAGATGTTGGGAGGGGGAGAGCAAGAGGGGGCAAGAGAATAGGAGGGAGAGGAGGGGAATGAATGAGGAGAAACATGGGTGAAAATGCCATAATGAAATCCACTATCTCCTGTACTAATTATACTAAAACTAGGTAACAATACCTAAGTAAACTGGAACTGCTCTTTATCTCCTGTGTTGAGGTCCTGGCAGCTTAGGAAATATGTAGTATGTGAAGAAGGAACCAGTATATACTGAGCCACTTTATTTTCAGAAGTACGAGGGAAATCATTTTGTTTTTAAATTCATAAAATGTAGCTAAAAATGGAAAAGAATTGGTTTCTAAATGATCACTTTAGGGCTGAGAAGATGGCTCTAGGGGTAAGAACTTTCTATAGAAGCATCAGGACCCAACTGTGAATCCATAGAAGCCTTGTAGAAGCCACTGTGGCCATAACCATCTGTAATTCCATTAGTCCTATGACACGGTTGGAGGCAGAGACAGGGGAATGGCCCTAGAATCTGGGGGTTCGGGGTAATGTCACATCAAACTGATGTGTAAGATTCCTATGTCACTGGCCTATTCAGGTTATTCCCCATTTCTTTTCTTTCTTTCTTTCTTCTTTTTTTTTTTTTTTTTTTCCAAGATAGGATTTCTCTGTGTAGCTTTGTACCTTTCCTGGAACTCACTCTGTAGTCCAGGCTGGCCTCGAACTCACAGAGATCCACCTGGCTCTGCCTCCCAAGTGCTGGGATTAAAGGCGTGCGCCACCACCGCCCGGCTATTCCCCATTTCTTAAAAACTACTTCCAGGTCTACATTGCTATTTAAAATGCTGTGTTTTGAGTCAATACTTTGATCTGTAGATAACGACACCAATCAGTTAAATGTCATGACCATTGTGATGGATACCTCTGGCTGAAGAAGCATTTTCTGAAAGCCCTCTGACCCTAACTCTCAACCCCAACCACCCCAGAGATGGCTACATAAGATCCTTGCAGACAGGTGTCTGAATGCTGCTAGCTGCTTGTCTTAGGGTTTCTATTGCTGTGAAGAGATACCATGATCAAGGCAACTCTTATAAAGGAAAAACATTTAATTAAGGTGGCTTAAATTTTCAGGGTTTTAGTCCATTTTCATCATGGTGGGGAGCATGGCGTTGTGCAGGCAGAAATGGTGCTGGCTATGTCTTGATATGTAGGCAACAGGAAGTAGACTGTGACACTGGGCAGTATCTTGAGTACTCAGAGCCCACCCCCACAGTGACACACTCACTTCAACAAGGCCACCCCTACTTCAACTAGGCCACACCTCCTAATAGTGCCACTCCCGATGAGATTATGAGGGCCATTTACAGTTAAAGTACCATACTGGTATTTACTAAAACATCTTTCTTTTTGTGAAATGGTTGCACCTATATTTCTTTGCTCATGTATTTATCATTTGCTTGGGAAAGGTTTCCCTGATTCTTGTGTTTTAATTTGCTTTTCGAAATCTGTGCTTGTGTGATATTTCTTTATTACATTTGGGCAGTTTGAAAAACACGGTTCTAACCTTTAGTCCGTTCAGACCATTTTAACATTTACTATTTGGAGCATGTGAAGGTCAACTTCTCCTTGTGAATTTCCATGCCTGGGCTCTGATCCTGACTGCTGCCATGCCTGGCTCTGCTCTGTGAGGTGTAAGCGCAGACTAGGATCCATGCCACACACACAGCATGGGCCCTCCTGCTCCTCTTCCTCCCTCCGTTAGAGTTTGCATTTGTGTCAGGGTCTCTGGAGGGAGGCCATCGACTTCCCCATTGGGCCACTGGGCTTCCAGTGTCACCGTAACATTTCACCTGGACTTTTGTGTTGTTCTTTTTGCTCTGTTTCAGAGCCTGCATGTGAACACAGAGGTGGGTTCTCTCCCCGTTTCCCCGACCTCTCTCTGCTCTCTCCTGCCTCAAGTCTTGGGAGAGAACTGTGCATTCTGGCCTGAGAGCAGTTCCTAATTAGCAAATGTGGTGTTCATGAGCTCTCTGGGGTTGGAGCAGTGCCAAATGTGGTTTCCTGTTAAAATTAGCAGCGGTTTCAAATTTGCTAGCGACTTAAAGTCTACAGAACATCCCCCCAGGAGCCCATGTGATTTGCACACAGGCCACAGTGCTAGTGTCCTCTGCTCTAGCTGCATGCAGCTGAGTACCTGAGAAAGTAGAAAGTTCCCCATGAGTCACTGCTTTGATCTTGCTGGTGGCTCTGGAGGGTGTATGAGGTTAGGACGGAAGTTAAGTCTGTTATTTCCTAGTCAAACTGAATCCTCCCCCGAATGGTTGGAGTTCTCTGTGCCCTTTACAGAGCTAGAGAGAGCTCAGCCCTGTGTGACCCCTAAGCCTAGTGGGGGTGACTTAGACCCAAGGACATTTGCCATTGGTTGAAGACATTTTTGATGACCTCATTGTTAGAGGGAGGATTGTTCTGGCATCCAGATGGTAACAACAGGATCCTGCCTAACACCTTTTAAACCAGACAAGGCAGCTCTCAACCTCAAAGAATCAGTGGGCCCAAAATGGCAGGTCAAACAACATTGAGAAACCCACTGTTCCATGGAGAGCCAACTCTGTTTTGAATGTTGTTAGTTGGGGAAGAGACTGGAAGTTAGTTGGGGAAGTTGTGTTGGCTGCGTGAAGCTTTAACCTTTGCTAGAAGCTGGTAAACCCTTAGTGCTTTCTCAGATGCTCCGTGTATGCAGTTGTTGAATCTTGTGTGTCTGTACTTTGTTCTTTTTCATCCGGTCTTGTGATTGCCTGTCTGGGTTCTGCTGATATTTAGCTATCTCCAGACCTGTGACTACCAGACTCTGCACATTTAAAAATTAAAGAGCTGATAGGGAGAACATCGTAGGGGCCTACAATGAAAGACTTTTGATCTTTTTTTTTTTTTTGAGGTTAACCAGATTTACTCTCTACACCATTGTTTTTAGAGTTCTCTAGAGAAACAGAACCAACAATATGTAATTATAAGACAGGCTTTATTAGATTGGCTCATACGCTCATAGGCTCTGTCTGGCTGGTGAGTTGGGGGAAATGAGTAGATGTTCAGTCTAAGGAGCTGGAAGCCTCAGTATGAGAGAGAGGCCAATGCTGCTGTAGGACTAGGCTCATGTGTAAGAGTCTTTCTTCAGAAGCAATAAGTATTACCTGAGTTGAATCAATTGAAAGTGTCATCATCTACTCTAGATGTAAAACTTTAATTTTAAAATCCCAAAAGAACCAGGAAATCTGTAAGCTTTTACCTCACTTGCTTGACAGCAAAGCCCTGATGGCCTGGAATGAGCCTGAGTATAATCCTGGCTCAGTCTACTTGGTGTGAGGTGCTGTACCTTTCTGTAAGAAACTGACACATACAGCGATGGCCTCCACTGAGCTCCAAATTACCTCAGTTTGCATTTACAGTCATATCCACACAGCCTTTGAAAATAAATGCAAAGCTATCGTAGCATATCTCTTCCTGTGGCTAGGTATGGGACTATGGATCTTTAGCAAGTGGCCAGGTGCCTGGGGATGGATGAATAACCCTTTGACCTTGTGTCCTCATTTGACCCATGGGAGTAATATTTGTGCTGGGTATGATGGAGTCAGGAAAGCATCAGGAGTTCAGAGTCATCCTTGATTACCTAGTTAGTTCCAGGCCAGCCTGGGCTACATAAGATCATGCTTCAAAACCCCTAAAAGACAAAAGAATGGGGCATGAGGGGTCAAGAGGAAAAAAATAAGAAAGGGAAGGAAAAAAAACAGAAATCTTCTGTCTCTCTCCTTCACTGGTAGAAAATGTGTGGAAGAGTTGTGAACACTAACCACAAAGGCGCTATTTGCTGGCTGGTCGCAGGACAAGAAGACACGCTCGCCTTTGACTCCATTGGTTTGTGGCCAGGCACAGAACTGAGGCATGTGACTGAACTGATGTACTCCCGGACCTTCTGGGAAGTTGTCTAATATTGAGTCTTCTTTATTAACTTCACTCAGCACTGTGGTGTTTGGAATGGGATATCAGGGGTGGGGAATGGGCATCCTGTCCATTACAGAATTTTCAGAAGCATCCTGACTCTCTACCCACTGGATACCAGAGGCAGTTCTTCCCATTATCATGGCAGTCAAGACTGTCTCCAAGTGGCACCGTTCCCTGGTGGCACAGTCCCTCTCATTATTCTCAACCTATTTGATTTAAATTTAAAAGGTACCTGGCATTATGTTTTTAAGCATCATTTAGTGATTCATGCCAACATGTTTGTTCATGTATACTTCAGTTTCTCAGTTTGCCTAGAACTTTCAATGTTACCAGCAGATTAGAACAGTTAAATGGGGATGGTATGAATTAAATAATGGGTTCTTCTCCTCCTTTACCATCTCTTCTTCTGTTCCCCCTTCCTTCTACTCCTCTA